ACCTGCTGCTGCACTCTGCTACATTCCTTCGTGCGCGACGTCACTCCTGCCGCGACGCGACAATTCCGTTCCTACTGCACTACACCCGTGGCAATAGTAAGGCAGACGACTTGCAACTTGTTAGTGACGGACGAGTTGGGTTGTTGAAAAGTGATAGGGAAGCAGTTGCAGACTGCATAGTTGGTCATAATACTTAGCCTTGTTTTTTTTTTATAAATTTGAACTTTTTTCTGCTATGATAAACACATCCCCAAACTAATTCCCTGAATAAGCTGATGTTCAAGTTTGAAACAAGAAGAAACAGAACAGATGATATTCATGTTTTGGAAACGTTTATTGCGCATCATAATACTTGATAACAATAACTTTACAATAAAATACCATCATTACTGCATTCCTGCACGTGTCAGATTTAGCTGTAAAACGATATCACATGCTGCAGCAAAGACAAAGTCGATTTGTTGAGTATCAGTCGCTTCCGTATAATGCACGTACAGTTTACTGTTTGATGGTAATCGAGCCTAAATATAACCAGTAAGTATCACACAAGGTAAAGCCACCTAACAAGGTGTAGGAGATAAACTACCCCGGGAAGGTCCATTCATTTTCGCCTAGTGTTGAAGATTCAAATTGCAAGTTTTCGATTGCAGTTCTCACTTTTTTTCATTGTATCATTGGCAGATCATTTTTGGTTAAAGTTACTAGTTATCAGAGCCTTATAATGACCGAACTTGAGTTCTAGAATTAATATTTATTGTATTGAAAAAATTTAAGACTCCGAAAAAGTAGTAAAGTCAGGGGCTGGACGAGAATGTGACGACGACCACTGCATGGAAGGGGTGCTTGGACGAGCTTCCTAAATGTGTGTGCCACCTCGTACAGCTGGCTACAATAAGTTGTCTGCATTTAATGTAGGCGTCCCGGTGCGAATAGGGCAACCCCTATGGCCTCTACAACGCCTTGAAAACTCGTCCGTCTTTGGATGTATACGACGACTACCTCAATACGCCCTATCTAGGCGACCCAGCAGCTCCATTGTGCTATATTAGGGGTACATAGGTTCATCCCAGGGTAGAATTTCAGGGACTTTTAGGAATTTTTATCATGAACTGCGCCTCTAAAACTTTCTCATCACAAAAGTAAATTTTCTATTCCGAAGACCAGTCGTACCTTTGTGAAGAAACCCTGAAGATAATCGGCCGCAGAATCGTAGCTATTGTCTCCTAGAATACAAGAAAGTTAATACATCATATAGAAACGCGTTTTTGACGATAAGTGCAGTTACTGGAGAAGGTAAAATTTCCTAATAAACAATTCCTCTTTGTTTCATATGCCATTGATCTATTTATTGATTAAATGTTGCCATCAATCCAAAGGCTCTCGGTGGTTTTTTTCACGTACTCCGTCTGGACTTGGGTACGACCTATGTAATCTGAAGGCTAGCCATTCATAACGCTTGGGAAAGTAATCTGTGATAGTTGAAGATAGCGGAATGGACTTTCTAACTACTTGCAAATCGTTCGTTTGCCTTTGATCACTCGGATGCATCTTGTCATGATGTTTGCGTAACTTGTAAGTGTATTATTCTGATGGTGGATAAGTTACAGTTTTCTCTGTAACAGTTGTAGCAAGGTTAAGAAAAAATTAAAGTTTCAGGTTTGCAAAGGATTGTAATGCCCTCCGGTCACTTTCACCCAAAGTTTAATGCATATCTTTTCTAAAGCACATGTGGGAGGTATTCAGGAAAGGAATGAGCTTAACGGAGGAGTTATTCGGGTGCTAACGGAGCTCGACATAGGATACAGACTTTCTTACCAGTAGACTACTTCAATGTAGGAGCGAGCTAACCTAGGTTAGGTTGACACAGTCTGTGAGTGGTAATCAAGCGCTTGGGGAGTCGCAACTCAGTTAAAAGCCTTTTTCTACTGCCTGGCAGAATTCTACCAATACCCTGGCAACAGGGTTGATTACCGCCTCGCAAATAGTCCACCTGCAGTAAAAAAGCTGAAATTCAATCGGGTTTTGGCTGATATACTTGAAATAAATACCTGTATAAGTTTTGAAGTGATCAGCGAGCCTAGAATGGGCTAATTTTGCTTTGAATAGATCAACTTTATTCAGAAATAGAATAAAGGAGCATAATTTCAGAAATTCGTTCTTAACAATTTCATGGAATAAATCGATACTGTCCATTAGGCGATTCTGTAAAAAATGAATATTTTTAGACGTTATAAGTGATACCAGTAGTAGTTCAAAAAAACTTTATGCAGTTCTGTCTTTATGGCCCAGAAATTATTCACCTTTTGTTCACGCTGA